CTAGCCAGCATGGTAGCACATTCCTGTAACCGGAGCACTGGGGAAACTAAAGCATGAGGGGACCTAGGGATCCGGGCCAGCTTGAGCCACATGGAGCTACACGGAAACCACAAAAGTCTTGGTTAGGATCTGGAGAAATTGGAATCTTCATGCGCTGCCATGGGAAATATAAGGCAGTCGCCATGGAAAAGTGAACCCAACAGTTTTGTTCCTGCAGGCGTTAGAGATGTAGACTCAGCCTGGACATATAATTCAGTAGTAGCCTGCTTGCCTGTGCAGTGCGAATGAGACCTTGGGTTCAGTCCCCAGTATTGCCCTCCGAAAAATTAAGTCTTTAAAACATGTTTTACGAGAATTGAGACTAGCAGCACTCGGGAGGCTGAGGCAGGAAGATTGCCATAAATCAATCCCAGCCTGGACGACAGAGTGAGTTCTAGCCTAGCCGTAGGAAGTGAGACCCTATCTCATTGGATGGGAATAGGGTTCCTAGTAACTCTGTAGTTACATAGAAACCCAGTTCAAACATTCGTGAGACTCGTGAGATGCCCTTTGCTTACAGTGGAGTTTGTTTTGGGACACTTAGATGTCAAATTGTATTTTAAAGCACCCAGTGGTGGCAGTCCTAGCACCGGAGAAGCAGAGGCAGGAGGCTCTCTGTGAGTTGGGGGCCAGCCTGGTCTACAGAGCTAGTTCTAGGACAGCCAAGGCTACACAGTCTTTCAAAACAGAATAAAGAAAAACAGAACTTTAAAGCGCCTCTCCGCTTTGTTTTTAGCTTTTTTTTTATATGTGTTTAGTCTCATTGATTATCCTGAGTTTTCATTTCCCTTTTTTTTTATTGTTTTTTCCTGTATTATTGCTCTCTAACTTTTTCCTTCGAGCCCAGGATTGCTTTGAACTCCATTTGCAGCCTAGGATGATGCAAAATCATTGAAAAGAAATATAGATTTAAAAAAAGACATGAGCATTTCTTAAATAACTGAAGGCTGCATTCTAGTTTAGCCAGTACCAAATGAAAGTGTCTAGGGACGCACACATATTTGGGATGGTAACTGGAGGTGAGTGTTTGTAACTGTGACTGGGTGGTGCTGGCTTACAGGAAGAGGTAGAATTGAGACAGGGCTTCTGGGTAGCTGATGATGCTCTGCTTGGCATAAATGACTCTCAGATCTCCACTTTATTAAACTATACATTTGATTTTGTAATAAAAAAGATTTTGAATAAATTTTTTTGGAGACTGAAACTGTGCTCGGGTTAGGGATGGGTGCACACTCAGGAGGTGGAGGCAAGAAATAAAAACAGCTTGTTCTGTGGGAAGCAATGCAGGCTGATCGGAAGACTTTCCGAATTCCAGGTAGCGTCCTCAATGACCCGGAATAGACAGTACTGTTTCCCCGTGAGACCGGTTGGCACAGGGATGGGTAAATTGAGCCCCAAGATCCCTGCAAATGCCAAACATACTTTCTCTGATACCTGAACATTATCAACACATTGCTCCTCCACTGTATGTCTGCTGTTTTCAGATAGCCAGGGTTATCTGTGACTCGTGTGCCCTACCGTGTTTAATCCCATATCTCTTTCCCCCTTCCAGAATGGGATCTTATCCGCGTTGCCTTATTTTGGCTGTTGGCTCTGCATGATTCCCTGCGGCCAAGCCGCTGATTATTTAAGGGTCAAGTGGAATTTTTCAACTATAAGTGTTCGGAGAATTTTTACCCTCGTGGGTAAGTAAGATGAATCTTAAGTTTTATTTTGCCTCCTAGTTATACCCATAACACCCCAAAACCCTTTGCCTCTGATCACTAAGATGTGAGGTTTCCCCACACACATCCCATTTTTCGGCGCACAAGCTGGGTGTAAGGGCTGAGTCTCCCAAGACTGCCCTCCTCCACTTTAGAGGTTAGTCACAAGAACTGGACTGTGACCGACACTTTCAACTGACTAAATCGGGGTTTGATTACTTTGCTAGACTAACTCACAGAACGCGGGAGACAGACAGATGTTTGCTCACTCATTATCATATTATAAGGGACAATATGGCCGGGCGATGGTGGCGCACGCCTTTAATCCCAGCACTCGGGAGGCAGAGGCAGGCGGATCTCTGTGAGTTCGAGACCAGCCTGGTCTATAAGAGCTAGTGCCAGGACAGGCTCCAAAGCCACAGAGAAACCCTGCCTCGAAAAACCAAAAAAAAAAAAAAAAAGGGGGACACTATGGATGAACAGCCAGATAGGAAAATCCTCGAGGCAAGGTGTATGGGAAGGGCTGCCTAGGTGCACCTCCACCACCACCCGGGATCTCCACTGGTGTTCTGCTGCCTAGAAGCTCCTCTGAAGCGCATCCTTGTCCTTTGGTTTGTTTTTTTGTTAGTTGGTTATTGGTCTGTTTGTTGTTGGCACAGAATCTGACTGTGTGATCAGGCTAATTCCAGGCCATCTGGAACTCAAAGCAGTCCCCCTGCTTCACCATCCTGAGTGCTGGGATTACAGGTGTGCTTACTTGGTCAGTACTCTGTTTCTAAAGCAAATTCTCGATGCTGTAGTACCTGGGTCTGGCTTCAAAATTCACAGCTTCCAATTCCAACTGTCAAGAGCTGGACCACCACGCCCAGCCCAAACCTTGTCTTTTTTTTTGAGTTTCTGTGGAGGCTTCATTATGCCAGCATGATCGAGTAAATCAGTGGCCATCATGATCCTTCAGATGACCCTCATCTCTGCCAAAGACACTGGTATCTTGGTCTTTTTTTTTTTTTTTTTTTTTTTTCTTGGTCTTGTTGAAAGCCAGTCCCAGCTACTGGGGAGGCTGAGGCCAGAGGATCATTTGAGGACAAGAGTTTGAAGCCAGACTGGGTAACATAATAAAATTCCATCTCAAAAAGGAAAAGTCCTTGAGAACCAGGTCTGGTGGTACATCTCTACCATCCTGGGACTTGGGAAGTAGAGCCAGCAGAATCAGGGGTTTGAGGTCATCCTCTAATACGTGACTGGTCTGAGGGCAGCTTGGGTTACCTGAAGCCCTGTCTCAAATACTGGGAAAAAACATACTGTCTAGGGCCACTGGTCCCAACGTTACCAGTTATATTACTAGCAACAAAAGACAATGTTAATCACTCCGGAAGTTCCAGAGGCATGAGGGCTTGAATATAGAGCAGGAATATATGCGTGTCTCTTCATGTCACAGTTAGCCAAGGCAGCAGAAAAGAATAATCCTCTATCTTGTTCACATGTGAAACCTGGTTCCCACAGCCACGACTGCCTGTAAGTTTACCTACAAGGCATCTGCCACCCTCTCCTGGCCTCTCCAGGGACCAGAGAATACACACAACATACATAAAAATAACATGCTTTACGTAAATTAGATCTGGGAATGGCAGTAAATTTAATCCCAACACTTGGGAGGCAGAGGCAGGCAGATAGATCTCTGTGAGTTTAAGGCCAGCCTGGTCTACATAGTAAATTGCAGGCCAGAACTACATAGCAATATCCTTTCTAAATAAATAAATGTAAATTTGGGAGCTGGAGATCTGCTCCTCCAGAGTTCACTGATTTGGTTCTCAGCACCCACTTGTGGCTCACAACTCTCTGTAACTTGAGTTCCAGAAGATCCGGTGTCTTCTTCTAGCCCCACCCATACTAGACATGCACATGGTGCACAGACATACATGCAAGCCGTACTAGACACACACACGTGGTGCACAGACATACATGCAAGTAAAACACACATACACATAAAATAAATCTTTTTTAAAAAATTATACATACTGTGAAGCCAGGCAGTGATGGCACATGCCTTTAATCCCAGCACTCAGGAGGCAGGGGCAGGTGAATCTTTGTGAGTTCAAGCCCCACCTGGTCTACAGATTGAGTTCCAGGACAGCCAAAGCTACAGAGAAACCCTGTCTCAATCAAACAAAAAATTATGCTGTGAAAGGACCCATTCTAGGTAAATTCCGCAAACACCTGCTGAGCACCCACTATGGGAGATGCTCTCCCATTCCATACTGCTCTGACTTAGACTGCACATCTCTAAGTGAAATAATTGCCTTTGCACCCAGTCTGTCTCCCCCAACCAAGACTGCATAGTGCATGTGCGTCTTGTCATCAGTTCTTAGAACCAAGACAGATCACATTTCTAACTTCATCCAACAGCGTTTATTATTTTTCTAAGACTTGTTTTGTATCTGTGTATGTGTCTTTGTGTGTGTGTGTGTCTGTGTGTGTGTCTGTGTGTGCATGCTTACAGATGGTTGTAAGCCACCCAACATGAGTGCTAGGGACCAAACTCGGATCCTCTGTAAGAGCAGAAAGCACTCTTAGTGACTGACCCATCTCTCTAGAGTTCACTGTGTATTTATCTACTGTGATAATGTGAATTTTATCACATTTTGTATCAGCTCTTGCTTCTCCTTTCAACCCTATTGTTCAATTTTTGTTTGGTTGGTTGAGTTTTTTGTTTTTGTTGTTGTTTTTTGAGACAGGCTTTCTCTGTAGCTTTGGAGCCTGTCCTGGAACTACCTCTTGTAGACCAGTCTGGCCTCGAACTCACAGAGATCCTGAGTACTGGGATTGTTCAGTCTTTTTCTCCTTGACTCTCAGCTCTGTAGAGGTTGACTGAGCCTTTATCAGGTGCAGATTGAATAGCGCTGCGGGGTGGAGGGGATTTCCTTTTCTGGTCACGTTTCCTGGAAGGCTTTCCAGTGAGGAAAGGAATGAAGCCCTTCCGTCTTCCAGGCAGTTCCGTGTTTCTACAGTAGGTGGCAGCACGATCCAGTTCAGGCTTCTGCAGTTTTAAAGAGACCGAATGCAATAATGGCGCTTCTTTTTCTCCTTCGACTTTGGAACTCCAGGAATGGTTGGCCCTGCAGTTTTCCTGGTCGCCGCTGGATTTATAGGCTGTGACTATTCTTTGGCTGTTGCGTTCCTCACCATTTCCACGACACTAGGAGGCTTTGCTTCTTCGGGATTTAGCATCAACCATCTGGATATAGCTCCTTCGTGAGTACAAATACAAAGGTTGGCTGGGTTGTCTTTGCTTTCCTTCCTTACAGTCACAGTGAAACACAGACAACATAAAATTTGCCATTTTAGCCACTGTAGTGCAGCCATCACCACTACAGTCCCTCAACTTTTACATCTCCATTTGGAATTCTGTGTCTAGTAAATGAACACTGGCGCCACATTTCCCCCTCTTCCCACGTCCTGGAAGCCACCGTTCTTATTTCTCCTTTCCGTGAATTTGACTACTAAAGGAATGACTTTAAGGTTTTTTTGCTAGACTTCAGTTTACACAACCGGTAAGTGTTGGCTTGAGCTACCTCCGCCTCCTGCGTGGTGTTCTCCTGCTCACTGCTGTGCCGGTGTGACTCGGGTCCTTGCCTGCTAGAACGAGAGCTCTGTGAGAGTCCACCCTCAGGAGCTACCATGGGGCTTTGATCGGACAGATGAATGACAAAGCTGAGAATTTAGCCCAGTTGGTAGAATGCTTGCCTAGCATCGTGGAGCTATGGATTCGATCCCCATAATGCATAAACTGTGGCACAGACCTGTAGGCCCAGAGCTTGGAAGATGAGCAAGGAAATCAGAAGTTCAGGGCCAGTCTAGGACACAAGAGGCCATGTCTCAATAAATAAATGGGGCCAGCAGGATGGCTTAAAGGGTAAAACATTTGCCAACAAGATTGATAACCCCTTGAGTCTAAATTCTGGAAGCCATGTACAGGTAGAAGGAGACAACCAACTCCACAGAATTGCCCTCTGACTTCTACATGTACTGTGTGCATGTGTGTGTGTGTGTGTGTGAGAGAGAGAGAGAGAGAGAGAGAGAGAGAGAGAGAGAGGGGGGGGGGGGGGGGGGGGGGGGGGGGGGGGGGGGGGGGGGGGGGGGGGGGGGGGGGG